TGTTCATACTTTTGTTTTCTGGGTTTTGCAAACACTACTTGAATTTTTGTTATTTGCGCGTACCTGTTTGTTGTGGTTGTAGATGAACCGCAGCATATAGTCCAAATTTTCTAACCATTTGCTGCAGTTGTTGGGGAACCACAGCAAATAATTCGAAATTATCAAAGTATTCACTGCGGTTGATGATGAAACGTAGCAATTCCTAATATTTTTATATTATTTGCCGCGGTTTGTTACTAACCGCATCACAAGGTCAAAAGGTTCAATTTTTATTGCTGCGGATAAGGATAAACCCAGCAAACAAGTTGAATAATTACTCCAGTTGCTCGGCTTAATCGAAACCCTAGCAATTTACTCGCTCCTCGTTTCAAAGAATCGTCCAGCCACAACCTAGCAGTCATCTTCTTCGCACCGGCAATCATAACAAATATGTACCAGTATAAAAAAAATTGGCAGGACCAGCAGCAGCAACTCTAGAAGGATTCTACTCTGCTCATCGTCAAAATACTGAAGCCCAATCCACGAACCGACATATCTCAAGCGGCAGCAAATCAGCTCCAACCACCGGCAGACCGGCTGTAGACCTAGCACGATGAACAGCGACAGTAACCTGCTCCAACGATTAAAGTGTTCTACATCTACTTCAATATCTTCAATAAACAGGTAATCTATAGATATGTGACGTGCACTTTGTCGTGAGGTGCACTCAAAATAATAATTACAATACAACAATAATACGTAGTATAGTGAAGTAAGGTTCGTATCCACAGGAAAATGAATATCTTTCTTTTAAATAATACAAAAGGGGGGTTTTAGATTTGTTTGATTTAAATATACTAAGATGAACAACCTATATGAGTTTAATTTAATGAGATGAGGACTTGGTTTTGCTTTTATCCACTTAATGAAATGTTCGTCGATCTCAGTTATATCTTTAACTATCTTCCTCTCGAATACTCAATCGAGGAGTATATCCAGTTGATCGAGGGTAGTTATTAATAATGAGACGCGTTCATTAATAAAACATACTACCGGGTCAATATAGAACACGCATCGTATTTTAACACGATAGTAGCAATAAACTTGAGATGAAAACGATTGAGATTGATAACCTCAACACAAGCGATTTATTGGTTTAATCAATATAATTAATCCCCTTAGATTATCAATCATGAGACGCATGCATTAACAATCTAAGTTTACTACCGTTGAAGTAACCGAATTAATAACAAGCGTATTAATCGGTTGATTCTAGTAATAATTAATATATGAAACAAAACTAGTTGATCCTTTAAGTAATGTTCAAAATATTAATATGAAATATGAATAGGAATTAATTAATACTCAAGGAAGAATATTAAAGAGTATGAATCCTACTATAGTTAATATCAAGATGTTAACTAATTGTCATCTTAGTAACACTCCCCAATATTAACATAGAGGAAGAAATAACTATTACTATAACTAATGTCAAGATGTTAACTAATTGTCATCTTAGTAACACTCCCCAACATTGATATAGAAATAGTATTTAAAAGAAGAATTAATATTCAAGGAAGAAAATTAAAGAGAATAACTCACAGCTTACAAATTAATTAAGCTTCAAAGTAGCAAAACCAAGATAGAAGAGTTTAGCTCCTCATTTGGAGACTAAACATGATGAAATATATAAAGAAAGAACTATTCTAGACTGAGCTTAGAAATATATAGGAATTGGTGATTTTTGTGGGAAGGAAAGGGGGGTATTTATAGGCTTTTTAGGCTTGCAGGGTCGTGTACCCGATCGGGCTGTAAGGGCACTCGATCGGGTACTTGGTTGCTTCGCGGAAATATAAAAAAACTAGGTTATACCCGATCGGGTATGTCGGCCACCCGATCGGGTATGAACAGTCGATCGTGCCAAAATCTCCCCTGCACGTTGCCTTGTCCTGGATCCGATCCGATTTGATTTTTCAACAAGGTACCCGATCGGGTAGAGGTCATACCCGACCGGGTACAACACCAAAAATCAGAATCTTGAGATTTTTTGCACCTTCCTTCCATTTGTGATGTTCACCAATGGTCCCTAGAGTGATCTTGGACCTGTTTGAGCTCAGTATAAACCTAATCTAAACAAATTACAAACATTTTTACAACTTAAACTATTACACCAAAAGTGTGTAATTTCCAAAGTAATAATCAATCAAAACTAATTAAAAACACAGAAATAAATATGTAATTTACATGAATGCCAATATGCCATTTTTGTTCTGATTTGATGTGCCAGTTTCCCTTTATTATATCTATTTCAGAAATCTCATATATCTACTGATAAGGGGTGCACACGTATTTGAGCCTTATTTCATATTTATTCCTCCTGGGAAAAAAAGATTTTGATAACAATAGTTGATTGAAATGTCTTTTTAAAGAAGCTTGGTATCGAAGGACCCCTTATATTCATTCTTTCATCTTTGGTTGGTGTTCCAAAGGTGTTCAACTTATTCATCAATTTTTATCTGCTTAGCTCAATTAGGAATGGATTCTGCTCTGATGTTTTCTTTTGTAGGTCCTGAACTCCTTCCATTACCCAGTAATAATTACTCTTGTTCAATTTGTTGTTGGTTCAGTCCTTGTAACTCTCATGTGGAGTTTGAATCTTTATAAATGACCTAAATTAAGTGGTGCACAGGTTTACCTTGAAGTTGAGCTAGATTTCTTTGTAATTATTTCTTAATGTCTTTATTTTCATATGCTAGATAATCATCTTACTTCATTTATTTAATCACCGACTTGCAGCAATCTTTCCATTGGCAGTGGTGCATACTTTAGGAAACCTTTTTACCAATATGACTCTTCGAAAAGTAGCTGTTTCTTTCACCCATACAATTAAAGCTATGGAGCCCTTCTTCTCTGTTGTTCTCTCAGCTATGTTTCTAGGTGAGGTGTGCATTCCCTTTAGTGCATTTCCTTTGAAAAGTATATGTTATTTGCTCAATACTCCTAGGTTAACTGGCTTTGCTTTCTTTTATATCCATTATATCACTACGAGAGCGTCAAACACCAAATCTGCCTTTATCACATAGTCAAATATTAAAGGAGTAAGAAACGTCTGGCAATAAGCTTGATTCTCAACGAAGTAAGATTTCTGCAGTTTTCTTAGACTCTTTTGTTTATTATGAAACTTTTCAAGAATGGAATACTTATTGTTTATTTGGCAGAGACTATCTAATCTCAAGTGCATTGTCAGGGACATCCAGAAATCGACCTTGAGATCGTAACTCCTTGGCCGATGACTCTTTAGCCAATGACTCCCTAGAGATAGGTTTTTTATTAGATGCTTTGTATTTTCCCATGGTCTAATTCTTCCTCTTACAGGCGAAAGCTTTGCTCACAAATGAACGTTGCGTCACGATATCATTGAGGATTCTCGTGTTTCTTAAATTAATCCTTAGTGCTCCTACATTTATAAGTCATGTAAGACACACTTGCTAACGTGCCGTAACTAGCCTAAACGAACTTCCCTTAAGAAATTTACACTGGATCGATGCCGGTTCACTCACTGTTTTTTCAAAAATTGTGAAATTTGAACCAGACTTGCTCCAGTTATGGCCTCGATCAGCACCGATTCACTCTCTGTCATCCCCAAACATACACATTTTACACATGACCGACGCCACATCTAGGCCATACCGGCATCGGTTTACCCCTGGACATTTTTATTTTTGTTCTTTGTTCAAAAATCAGGTCGGTAACATCGTCGCTCGACCCGTACATGCTGCCTAAAGCTTTTAACACATAAGAACATGAACTAACAAGTGTTAACAAGTGGTTACTTGCAATGGAGTCCGGGTTAACCCGAGCATCAGCCTCACCCATCGCGTAGACCCTCGCCTAGGCTGCGCCTTGGTTGACGCACACGGCATTGCTTGCCGTTGCACCACCCCTCCCCGGGTCGGCGTGTGATGGCCCCGCACGGTTCCTTCGCGTCATGACTACTCCTCCTGCTCCCGAAATCCCCCTTGTCCAAACTGCGAACAAGTAGCCTTCATATGGCCCACATTCTCGCACTTAAAACACCTTGGTGGTTCATTACATTTCCCAAAGTGTTGTTTAGAGCAATTGGGACATCTAGGTAGCCCCAAGTTTTGTGGCCTAGGTCCATGCCCCCTCGAGTCCCTACTCTTAGGTTGAACGGATCATCACCATCTGATCCGGCATCATGGCCCCTTAGGATTTTTTTACATGGACTGTTTTCAGTCCCAAACCAGACTTAAAAAGATAAGACCATACTAGACCAGACGTAAACAGATCAGACCAGATCAGACTTAAATAGACCAGACCATACCAGACCAGACTTGACTTCCATAGTTATAAAATACACAAAGACCAGACGTTTACCAGACTAGACTAGTTCGGACCAGACCAGACTTAAACAGACAAAACAGACCAGATCAGACTTAAACAGACCAGATCATCAAATTATGGTCTAAGTAAAAACATCCTTAGTCCGCAACACTTTGCTAAAAGAAGAAATTAATTGAAATTTTAAAATTTGAAAACATTATGAAAAGAGACGGGTGTACTTTTCTTAGTCCCTTGGCTTACATATCACTCTGATATTTGACCTCTTTTCTCTTAATTAACAATGGAAAAGTATAAAAAACACTCCTACCGTTCAGTTCTCTACCAGCGAGCATGTAATTTACGGAGAGGGTCTTCTTAAGTACACTTTTACTACATTCTTTAAGCAAGAACATTCTTAACGACTTAGATTGGGTCAAAGTATATATTTGGAAATTGACTAGCTAATATTACTTGAAAAAATGTTAAAAGAAATTGGATGCAACTCAATTGAATTAGCATATCAATTAACCAAGTGAAACAACACTTTGAATTCCCTTGTAAAACAGATATTTACAAGAAAAGAAAAGTATTCCTATAAAACTAATTAACACAAAGAAGCACAAAGACTAACAACTTTGCTCACAAAAATTAGTTAGCAGCAGACTATAACTTATCAATGGAAATTAAACAAGAAGACAAAAAATTGGGAAAAAATAGATTCCTAAATTGGTGGGTTGATTGAGCTCATCAATAGATCTTGAGAATTTGGTAGGGTTTGGATGAACTTTTCTGGAACCAGACACTTTTCCTTCGAATACAATTTCTCTTGAATCAACGAAGACCCGACAAGTGTCTCTAAATCTTCATTAATAAGTGTCTCCCCATTTTCCTGCAACATAGTACACATACAAATATACAATTATTTATGTGCAGTAGTAATATAAGCTAGCTAAACCCTCCATATATAATGTCAAACAATTCAATTAATTAATCACACAATACATAAAATCAATTATCGTTCTCAAAATGAATACCCAGTATTTAATTATTTTTTCAGTTATGGACATGTCGATCAAAATGAATACCCAGTATTTAATATAATTATTTTTGCAGTTATGGACATGTGGATTAATATACTGGATAATACATATATATACTCGCTGCAATAACCGAACTTTGGAGCTTAATTAAATCAGAGACAAATGTAATAATTGTTACATTTCTTTGTAATAACTGTCAAGTTTCAAATTTCAAGCAAGGAGCACTACTATATAATGAAATTATGAAAATATAAATATATACTGAAAATTAAATGTTCATTTAAACATTAAATGTGCTTAATGATAACTAAGTAAGTATAGTAAAATAATTTATCTTAAGTAAATATTTGTAATAAATGAATTAAATTACCTGAGATGGCGAGAGGCAAGACTGCAGTACTGAAACTTGGGTTTGCATGAACTTGATGTAGTTATAGGCAGCCTGAAACATCTCGGCGGTGTTCATCTTCTGGCCGCCGGGAATCAGCTTTGCCAGTTCCTGCGTCTTCTCCGTGATCCTCCTCCGCCTCTCCCGAGCGGCGATGCTCTGCGGCGACAGCGTCTTCCCGCCGTCGCTCTTCTTCCCCACATTCCAACTCTCCCCCTCCGAGTAGTAAGCCGTAAGCGGCGCACACGGGAGCTCCGGCAGCGGCGGAGGCGGAGGATTGAACTCGTGCAGCCGAGGAGGGTTCGGAATGAAGACGCCGAAACAGCTCTGGGTAATATCTTCTTCTTTACTTTGGAACAACTTCTTGCGCTTCGGAGGGGGCTCCCGGAATTCGAGCTCTTGCTGAAAGGAGAAGTCAGGCGGCAGCGAAAAGCAGTCGCCGGAGAAAATAGGGTCACCAGAGTTGAAAATAGTGTCCATCGGAGTGGGTTCAGGAAGAACAAAATCATGGTTGTTGAAGCCGCCAAAAAGAAGCTCATCAGCCGCCGAAGGTTCAAGAAGGTGATGACTATCCACTGACTGCGGCGGCAGTGGCGGTTCGCTGAAGAAAAGTGGCGAAGAGTGGTCGTCCAAGGTTTGGGTGAAGTTAAGGAAGTTGTCGTGAGTGGTTTCCCAGGTAGGATAGTAACAAGTTAAGCAAGAACTAGCCGCCATTTCTGTAATAAAGCAAGTCAAATGAAAGAAAGAAGCAGAAAGACAAAAAGACATAAAGAAAGAAATCAGAAAGAGAGAGATAAAAAGAAGGGAAAATTACGTGCGCAGAGATGGGAAGTTAGTGGAGAGAAAATAGGATATCATATGGATGAGAATTTTTGGTAGTAACTAACTCCCAATTATGAGGAAATTATTTCGGAAGTATCCAAAGAGAATTTGGGGCTTATTTTTTTTTTTGCAGTCTTTTATTTTCGAGTAATTAGCCTGAGTAGCTTCCGTTTATCCTGAGTTTTATGGGTTTATGTGTTATTTAGGATGTTTTTACTTTGATTAAAATTTGCTGATCTGGTCTAGTCTAGTCTAAACTGGTCTTGTTTTGTCCGGTAAATGTCTGGTCTCTATCTTATAACTATCCAAGTTTGATCTAGTTTGGTCGGGTCTGAACTGATCTGATCTGGTCCGGTATGGTCTAGACTATCTCGCGGGTGTTTATTACTGTATAATACAGAGTACTACGTAAGTGTACTACACTCCGTATATTATTACTATTAATTACAGAAATAGATAGTACCACCTTCGTCATTAAAAAGTTTGCCAAATTGACTTTTCTTGGTCGATGATGACAAACTTTGAGCAATGATTTTAGTTATTATATTTGTATATAATTTATAAATTTTATACTTTTATGAAAATATTTTCAATAAGGAATATTTTGATATAATTTTCATATTCTAAATAATTTCGTATTAAAATATATCATTGGTCAAAGTTGATTGTCATCAGGACCGGCCCTGGGCCTGTCTGCCCAATCCAACCGCACATGGCCCGGTTTTTTAAAGGGCCCAAAAAAATTAAAAATTTAGTATTACACCAAGCCCATTAGTTTTTAGCCCAAATCTCTTTCTCCAAAATCCCCTGCTCCACGACAACACCCCTCAGGCTTCAGCAAAAAATCAACAAATAACGATTCTGCCGATTCAGACCTCCAAGGGCCAAGGCGATTCTGCCGATTCAGACCTCCGCAGCTCCACCGCCTCCGCGTCTCCAGTCGAACCGCACACCGCACACCGCCCAAGGGCTAAGGCGATTTTGCCGATTCAGACCTCCGCAACAACCCACGCCCAAGGGCCAAGGCGATTCTGCCGATTCAGACCTTCGCAGCTCCGCCGCCTCCGCGTCTCCAGTCGAACCGCACACCGCACACCGCACGCCTGCACGCCGCCGCCTGCAGTCAACCAGCCACCCGCCTCCCTCACTCCCTCAGACCCTCAAGCTCCCTGCTCAGGTGCTCCCGCCTGGCCGCCTCTGGGCCTCCCTCAGTCCAGTCGTCCAGTGGACTTTCGGTCAGTCCACTGCATCCAGTTTCTTTTATTCATTTAGTTGCTAATTTGCTAATTCTTGTGAACTTTTGATGTATTGAATTGATGAATTGTTTGTTGAATTCTTGTAATTTGTTTATTTTCAGATTTAATGTTTGTTGAATTGTTGTATTGTCGTTATTTGTTGATTTTTTGCAGTTAAAGTAAATCATTATTTGAATTGATAATACAATGTATAATTTTGTAAATGTGTTTAGCAATTAAAATTTGAGAAAGTGGTATAAATATATTATTAGGTAACTTGAGGTTGATAAATTATAGGGGAAAATAATTAAAATACCCCAAACTTTGAAGGGGTGTGAGATAAATGCTCCAAACTTTGAAGGGGTGTGAGATAAACGCTCCGAACTTTCATATGTAAGTTAAATACTCCAAACTTTATATAAAAAGTTATTTTAACACCATGGTTATGTATTATTTCTTTCAAAAATGTAAATTTATGGTGTTAATTGCATAATTTAAAATAGCAAATTGAAAACATTAGAATTATATATAGTGGTGGGTAATACTATTTATTTTACAATGGAAGCTTAGAATGTTAATTGTATTTTTATGAATGCTAAAAATTATCAAATTATGAAATAAACACCAAAAGTTAATATTTTTGAAAGAAATAATACATGACCATGGTGTTAAAATAATTTTTTTTGTAAAGTTTGGGGTATTTAAATTACATATGCAAGTTTGGGGTGCTTATCTCACACCCCATCAAAGTTTGGGGTATTTTAATTATTTTCCCCTAAATTATAATTATACACTAGTATAGTCATTCATGTTTTCACCCTAATTTTAAACTGAATATTAATTTAAAATTTATAAACATGTACATGATTAGAGGAGAATTTCAATAATTGGTAATAATGTTTCCGTATAAAGTGTAAGTTAATAATGACTTTTTTCATTTTAATCATTACGTTTATTAATAACCTGTATTTTAAGACAATTTGCTTCTGTTGCAACTTGAAAAAAGGCCCAAATTTTATTGTTGCATAGGGCCTCCGTTTTCTCGGGACCGGCCCTAATTGTCACCAAGAAAAGTCAATTTGGCAAAACTTTTCGAGACGGAGGGAGTAATAGTTTGTAATAATGACAGAAAGTACAAATTCTGCAACAGTTACAATGAAAACACTACTTTGGTTACCAGTTAATTAAATATGGATGGATATCATTAAACGTATTTCGGGTAAAAAAAATTGTTTGTGTTAGATTTGTACGTTGTATTATATTCCGTATTTGCAAATTATATCATGAGATTAGCTTACAATGACTAGCATCACGGTTGCTCCTATAAAAACTGAGGTCTCCTGCAAGATAAAAAAATTAAGCCTTTGTTTCTTCTAAGAAATTAGAACTCCTGATGATAAAATGGAAAAAGTAATAAATTATTAAAAATTTATGTCAAAGTACAAGTTAATATGTATTAACTAACCATTACAAACTCAAAAAACAAAATTTATTTACTTATAAAGTACTTCGTATAATAGTGATACAATTACAAAGTTAACAACCTAATAGCCCGGCCAATAATATAAATTTATTAAAATCAATTACATAATTAGCATCTAAACGTCTAATTGTTGTTGCGTAGTGAACTGTAATTGTTGAAAGCGGGAGGGAGCAAACGACTAAGCGTATCATTCGGTGCCCTTCAGCGAGATGCAGATAGTGACAAGCTCGAGGCAAAGGTAAAGAAATGTATCTTTATTAGGTACGGATTGGATGACATGGACTACAGGTTCTGGGATAAAGGCAAAGACGATCAAGAAGACCATGAGAACTTGTAGTTTGCCTTTTGTATTGCACTTTTTCTTGTACATTAGATGTTGTAGGAACAATTTTCAACATTTTACGTATTTTGTCTTCTAAACTCTTGTATGTTGTGTTGATGTGTTTGAGAATGAATATTAGATGATTACTTGTTATGAATATTGGATGATTGTACTATGTTTTACGGGTTATGAATCTAATGTTTTGTATTCGATTTGTAAAGGGTCTTTACAAGGTGTTTTGTATGTTGTTGAGAGTAGGTGTTATGTATGCGTTTGTGAACATGTGTGTTGTATGTTTTATAATGTGTTGTATCTGGCTCGTAACACTTAAATAGGAGAATTGAGATCTTATTTATAGCAAACATATGAGTTTGGGTTGAACCGGGGCAAAAAAATGCTGAAATTCTGTTTTCGAAATTAGGCACGATCGTGCCCCTTGCAGGCACGATCGTGCGTGGCTGGCTAGCTGTTGGCCTGTGTTCATATGGAAGGGAAAGTCACCCAACGGTTGGGCGACTTATAAGTCGCCCAATCGTTGAGCGACTTTCGCTGACCATGGTTAAATCCAGTAGTAGATCGATAAATACTTTTTTCCAACATTATTTTCTTAATTAATTAATTAATTAACATTAATTTGAAAAAAAACTCCGATCTCCCGGAGTAATTTCAAAATGATTCAGTAGCGTGTATCATCATTTCGCATGCAGTGCTAAATAGTCTCACATGCAGTGTAATGATTCAAGATTACACTTGGTCCGAAAGATGGAATCTCCCACCCCAGGAGTCCCCCATACCCCGACCCGACAGGATTTTTGGGAGGATGTTAATCACGGTGACTCAGTCGGCCCAATGATGGTATGCCTTTTTCCCGTGCGCACTAGAGTCTCAGCCTTATTTCAGGTTCTGTGACCTCCACACGGCCATTGCGGGTTTCGAATCTTAGTCACTTAGTCCAAATTTCCCACCAGTGAATCAACTGAGCTACCCGTGCGGGTGTGATTCATGATTACACGAGTTTACTTCTATGCAAGGAAAAAAGCATCATACCGCACTCCCATTTTGAGTCTACATTACATTGTATAATCATTTGTACATTAATTAATAAATGTTCAAATTAAAAATGGATACAAACTTCTCTTAATGCCATTGTTTTACCGTCTTGCTTGCAAAGCCTCCTGGATATTGGGAGGGTTTAAGCATATCCGTATAACTGATGTTAGTTTTTTTTGGATTAAGGACTATTCATGCATATCGATCTCCTTATAGCCTTATACTACGTAGGTCTTAACTCTTAAGTCTCAAGTACAATAAAAACAGGGTTACCTTTCGTTGGAATTTTAATCCCAAAAGTAATCTCTCACACACATAAAAAATTCTTTAATTTTAATTTAACCACCATCTTCTGACACTAACTCCGCCATGATATCATTTTTTTTGGTATCATGTCTGTTCCAAGCCAGGATAAAGGAGGAGGGTGCTGTGGTAGGCGTGTGACGGCCAACAGTATCACCTAGTCACATCAAATGACATGAATCGAAATATGAAAATCTAATCTTTTTCCCTCATCTTTTTTTTTCCTTAGTTTTTTTATCCTTATATATATATGCATTATTTGCAGCCTTTTTATTTTATCATTTTTATATATATTCATCTTTTTTATATTATCTTTTCATAATAGCTTATCTTTTTATCTTTATTCATTCTTTCCCTTTTGGTTGTGATATCATGTATCGATTCATGTTAGCCGACCCCAATATCTTTTGGCCACTAAGGATTGGATGTTGTTGTTGTTGTACCATCTTCGGACACTGG